CCTTGGGCCCCAACCTTGTGCTCAAGAGCCCAAGCAACAAACTCGTTTTTGTACTGCCTCCATCCCTCCTCCAACTTGTTCCCCCCGCTGTTGCCCGCAGATCGCAATGGAGATCCCCCGGCGTCGCCCTCCTCGCCCATCCCGCTCTGCGTTTCCACCTCTCCTTCCCCGCCCTCGCCCGGTTGGGTCCTAGGAGATGCGCTTCGAGAGCCTGCAAGGTCAACGAACGCTGTCTCCACGAGGCCTCCGCGAAGCAGTTCGCGGCAGAGTGCCCCCATCGGTCGCGCCATGCGTCGGCCCTGAAGAACGCCGGGCCCGCCCAGGACAAGCGCTCGAGCAGTCTGCCTTCGATGGCTTTGTGGCCGGCCTGTTCGCAGAGCCTCCTGGCAAGCCGAGCCGCCCTCTTGAAATAGCGTTGAGCGTCTGCGTGATCGAATTTCCGAACCCTTGCGACTTTCCGGAGAAGGCCTCCTTCCAGTTGGCGAACGCGCTCGAACATAATATGATTCCAGGCGAGGCCCTCGGATCCGTAGAGTAGGCAAGCAGGGATTGACTCGGCGTGCCGTCTCAGTCTCTCCATCCTGAAAAGTAATGGCTGTCGAAGCTGAACGTCGCTGTAAACTAGCTTCAGAGCCTGAGAAATGCGGCGATCGAGGGCCACCGATGAGTCCCCATATCTCCGATATCTTGCTGCCTAGCAGGAGTATTTCTTTTCGACGAGGTACTTGGGCAGTCCCCTGGAGGACCCCTGGGCCAAGATACTGCGGCGCGGCCACGATGTCCGGCACGTTGTCCGGCTGGGCGGCAAGGGATTCAGACCCCCGCAGAAAAGCTCGGATGCAAATGGGCGCCTCTGGGGTCGGACTTGGCGAGAGATACTCCATGCTTTTGACCTTCCAGCAAAGCCCTTGTTCACTCATCTCGTAAATGGCGTCCTGGATCTGGCGCAAAAATCATCATTTTCTGCCCGCTGGAGGTTATAATATCGATTACCTTCTACGAGCACCCCCCGCCAGACCCCCCCCCCTGCAGACAGAAGTTCGAAAATATCAGGTCTGTGACGAGATTCCACTTCCCCGCGATGTCCGCGGCCCCCGTTTTCTCGCATCTGGCGCGAGGGATGGCTGGGGCCTCGGTCGCTCCTCTGAAGACGGGCACCAACTCAAGATCCACGCCCTCCAAAAAAACACAGCGGCTGCAAGTAGGCCGCGGATTTCGCGAGCTGCCAGGGCGCCCGAACAGGATTGCGGGGATGAGTAATCGAACGCTTGTAGAACATCTCCTAAAAATATAAAGAAGCCTAGCACGTCGGGCCATTTCCCCCCCCTGGACAAGGTCCCTGAGAGGGCCCGTCAGCTGGTTGCAGTTCCGCCCCGCATGGGAGCCGAAACTCCCCAAGAAGTCTCCGTCCTTTCTGCGCCTCATCTTCCTCAACCAAAATCATGAAAACAGTTATGTGAGATTTGTGGGATCCGCTGATCAGCGAGACCCCCCAGAAAAATAACATAGATTGCGCTCCTCGCTCCTTCTCTAAAAATGTCACAACGACTGCAATCAAAAAAGAAACCGACTCCTCCCCCTCCTCCTCGGCGTAGCGGGCCCTGAACGCATGGCAGCATTTCTCGACGCCGGTTTCCCGCGAGCTCCCGCGCCATCTCGGTGCAGATCTGGTCGTTGCCCGCCGAACTGTCCAGTTTCAGCCTTGCCGTGACGAGGTAAACGTGGCCCACGGTCATCTCTGGTGCGCGACGCCTTGATCGAACTTCGCGAAGCCCTCGCTGCCGGCGCAGGCGAACTTGATGCACGAAAGCCCCCCTCATGGCATGAGGGTCAGCGTACTTCTCGTAGCAGACGTCGTGAACGATGTCCTTCCACTGCGTTCTGTCCTCTACGGCAGTGCCCAAGCGGTCTTGAAAGCTCACTGGCGCGGCCATGGACATTCCAGCGCGCGTCTTGGTGCTCGGGAACTCTCTAGGCGCAGCCGATGTCGACGCCATTGGCGCTGGGCACGTCGTAGTCGTTTGCGGGTGTCTCGATAGGCCTCCGTCTCCCGGGGCGCTCTCAGCTAATCTTCGAGCTGCTGTGCCGCGGGAGGCAGAATAGTGCAGCACGGCGGGAGTATCTTGTGGCGTAGGGTATACTGGTGGCGCACGTGCGGATAGCGTCGCTGTCCTTGGTGATCGCCTGGCTCACGGAGCCGGGGCTGATGCAGACCTCCTGCAGTCCGTCTTCGACTTGGGCGCGGAACGTCTGACGCGCGGGATCTCCATCTGGCTTTCACCCCGCCACGTACATGTGATCATGGTAGGCCCGTTCGCTCAGCCACCCAGTCAGCTTCAGTGCCAGCGGAGCGCAGTCACGCGAGGCTCCACCAAGCATGCGCGGAGCTGCAATGTGTAGAAGAAGTACAGTAACCAGCTTGCTGTTCAGGACGTAGTCCAGCGTCTTCCATGCGACAGTGCTGTCTGAGCAGATGGCGCGTGGCTTCTGACCTTCCAAAAACTTCGTTGCACCCGCATGGCAACGGAAGGTGGACATCATATCGAGCACTGCAACTTGCCTCTCAAGGTGGCCCCTGTTATCCCACCCATACGGTGTGTCTCCGGTGTAACCCTCCACTGCAGGCAAACTCACATTGAAGTCCCCCGCGATGATGTGTGCGATCGAGTCGTCGGCGGTCTGGTCCCTCATGATGGTCTGAGGGTTGGTAGCGATCGTGTTGGTGCTGTTTTTGAACTCGTCTAAACGGTAGCCCCAGGAGTCGGGCAGGTAGCAGGTCTGAACGCAGAGGTTGTGAATGATCACCCCTGCCACTCTCGCACTGCTTACATACCCAGACAGCACGAAAGATGCGAAGCAAGATGGTCCAAGCATGGCCACGAAGGAATTGGCGGCACACTGAAATTCCCAGCCTCCGATGCGTAACACATCTCCAAGATCTGTCTTCCAATGGGACACCTCTCGGAGGTTCACAATCACATCGGAACCATAGAGGCCGGCAGTGTGCTTGAGGATTTCTGGCAACGTACACATCGGAACATCGTTCACATCGCAGGAAACAGCAATGAGACCCGCAAATGCGTTTGCTGCCCCGGAATCGAGCCCGTCCTCGGCTCAGTCGTGCTCCCGTGATGGTGCCAGAGATCTCCGTCTCCTCCGAAAGGGCAGCCCCGGTCACGCCAGTTCTGAAGACTTGGCGTCCAGCCCGAGATCTGAGTGTAGGTGGCCAGCCTCACGGGGTGTGGGGCTCCAGCGATT